CCCGCTGATTGAAGAATTTGTGCTGAAGGGTACGCGGGGGCTCCGTCCCATGTGCGGTGTAACTCCTGCTGCTACAAAATTATACGTCCAACATGTAGAGCAGAGTACCTCCATGTACCGTCACGCAGCAGTGCCATGGTACACACAGCGAGAGATTCACACGCACAGCTTCTGTCTATCACAGCAGTGCCATGGTACACACAGCGAGAGGTCAACACACACAGCTTCTGTGCACACCTTAGGTGTGTAGCAGCTGTGTGATGGCTGTGTGCTTCGGTTCGGAACCACAGAGCAGCGTGGATCTACCCTGTCCTCCAAGCGTGTACATGGGACAGGTACGACACGCATCATAGACGCGCACATGTAGCATATGGCATCGTCCTCACAGCTCTTACTCCCTGCACGTTCCTCTCTCTGTCTCTATTTCTGTTGGAATTCACGCTGTGTCTCTCGATTCTCGACCCGGACTTGCTCGACTGAATCAAACTGCTGCCGGGGCACGCCACAACTGCATNTGCGTCCCCGGAAACCAAAACGCCGGTACAACACTTCAGCAGCAGCAGCAGGCAACACAGCAGCAGCAAGAAACAAACAGCCTGCCACCACAATAGCCACTGGTGCCAGCCTGCTCGCCTGCGTGGCCATAACTACTGGTCTGGTGTCATGCACCACAACCGCTTCCTACGTCACCTCTACTCTACCATGGACGGATTGAAGGACCCACGCACTTCCAACAGCCAACATGATAGCGTACAGCTTGCTTTCAGCAGTAGCACCACCTACCGGTCCAAATGTCAACCCTTTCCTCTAATCGTGTACATGGATAGGTATAACCACACATCATAGATAGGTGCACACATAACCTAGCACCGGCGACAGTTACGATCGACGTAGGGGAGTTAAGTAAGTTGCGCACGCCACTCTGTGGGATGAAAAACAGACGTGCAATGCCCCTGGCGAGTGGACGGGTGTGTGGCCTGGAGTTCTTCTGTATGTACAACGGTTCGGGTGGGGCAAGGCGTATCGAGGAGGAGTATGCACTTGCTGAGCGTTCGAACGATTCAAAATCCTCTTGTCCCATGGAGCCAAGTGTAGAAAGCCACACCTGTGAACAAAGCGATTTCCTCGAGAGGGGGAAACGAAATTGCCTGCGCATGAACTCCCGTTGAGTACATGCAGGTCTGTCCTCACTGGGACCGCACACTGCACCACGCCCGAAGTACCTTTAAGTGCCTTCAAGCGAAACGAGTCAACCCGCACTGGGACCGCACGCTGCAACACGCCCGAAATACCGTGAAGTAAGTGTCTTCGAGCGAAGCGAGTTACGATGCCCCACTCGCATTCACTCCACACCGACTACATCAACAACACACCAAACCACTTTACGCCTTTACACACTGCACCCCGCCCGAAATCCCGTGAAGTGCCAAGCGAGTCGACCACACTGGGGCCTCATGCTGCAACACGCCCGAGAACCCCCTTTAAGTGCCTCCGAGCGAAGCGAGTCGACCCGCACTGTGATCGCACACTGCACCAGGCCCGAAATACCCTAAGTGCCTTCGAGCGAAGCGAGTCGACCCGCACTGTGATCGCACACTGCACCAGGCCCGAAATACCCTAAGTGCCTTCGAGCGAAGCGAGTCGACCCGCACTGTGATCGCACACTGCACCAGGCCCGAAATACCCTAAGTGCCTTCGAGCGAAGCGAGTCGACCCGCACTGGGACCGCACACCGCACCACGCCCGAAATACCGTGAAGTAAGTGTCTTCGAGCGAAGCGATTTACGATGCCACACTCGCATTCACTCCACACCCATTATATCAACAACACACCAAACCAGTCTATGCCTTTTTCATGTCCAGGAAGAAGCAGTACGTCGGCTTTCCTGCCCTCTTTCTACCTTGGATGATCTTCCCTACCGTGAATACGTGGTCTATGCACCTCCTCTTCTTGCGGAAACCTGCCTGGCCCTCACTAATGCTATGTTCCTTCTCCAATACTCCCACTATCCTATCGTTCAGCAGCTTACAGAACACTTTCCTACCGTGTTCAACAGTGTGATCCCCCTGTAGTTTCCTGAGTCGGTCTTGTCTCCGTTCTTGAACAAGTTCACAACAACTCCTTCCCTCCATCTACTTGGCGTATACTCGTTTTTCCACACCCAATTGTATAGCAGTACCATCAGCTGGATCATCCCCTTCCCCCCAAACTTC